TCTAATTAAAGGTACACAGAGAGTAATATCGTTCTTACGTCAGATTGTCGAGCATGGCGGATTTTACAGGACCTCCGATCACACGTGGTGACAATAGAGAGGATACAGTTTGTAGGAGCGTGTAACCCACCGACTGACCGGGGAAGGAAACCACTGTCTCACAGGTACAGTATGCTGTAGTGGGCATTGAATACTGTATTATTTGGGAGGGATACATTTTTGTATTGCAGTATACCATATAGCACTTTAATTGGGTGTTTTTTATTTTGGCAATTGGCAGTCTGCAAGTGGAATTGTCAATGTTAAAACCACCAATCATTAATGAGTACAGTGTATGCTCAGTAATGGACGTGTACACTAAATTACCAAATTGAAAACTGCCAATTGTACATGTAATTTTATAGCAAAATTCCCAAAATAAAGCACTATACAGTATTTATTGGCAGTATGGTACTGTTGTAATGATACTGTGTGGTTTTATTGTTTGAATATGTTGTGGTGGGCATTGAATGCCTCTAGTTTGGGGAGTGGTAGATGTTTGTTTGTACAATGTTATAACTGGCTATTTTAATCATGCTGTGTGACTGCATCATTTGTACACGTTTGTGTTGATGATAATTACAAATCATTTTAATTTAATAATGTAATTAAATAATTAATAAAACTATAATAATTGTGACCATAATTGACAAAAGGTACCTTATGGTGGATAGGAAAATTGGTCTTTATAGCCTTAAAAATCCAACTTCCTGAGCTCCATTCATCATGAAATTACTCCAGAGGATGCAAAAAGTTACTTTGTAACTTTTAGAAACAATAGTTGTCTAACAGAGCACTCACAGGGTGATATTTTTCATCATAATGATGAACTTTAAAATCCGCCATAAGGTACCTTTTGTCAATTATGGTCACAATTGTTATTGTCACTACAAGGTATATGTACATTTGCATTGAAATGTAAACACACTTATGTGTGTGTGGGGGGAAGTATTTAATTGTTACGACTAGTTTTCATCTCTGAGAACTTGAGATCAATGTATGCTGATTTCCAAGTCCACCAATTTACTCCTTTAGCATTATTAGTTGAAGTATTAAAATAATGACCATTAAGATTTGAATTAAGGCAGTCATTATACCACCAGGCACAGAAATCTTAGTTTTTATAATATTTTCTGATACATATACATGTACATGTACATGTACTTATGTTGTGTAGCAAGTTTGAGCTGATTCCAATCAAACTTAGATTTTTTATGAATTTTTAAAGTTGTTTAAAAATCAGGTAAAAGTCCCTGTACTATAGTACAGGGGTGTTTGCCAAATTTTACCAAAATTGAAAAAGAGAGAAATCTTAGTTTTTATATTCCGATCAAATTTGGATTTTATACGAATTTTTTAAGTTGCTCAAAAATTGCCTGTACTATGTGTACATGTATATAGTACAGGGGTGTTGGCCAAATTTCTCCAAAATTAAAAAGTAGGAATTCTCAATTTTTGTAATATTTTCTGATACATATACTTGTCCTTATGTTGTGTATAAAGTTTGACTTAATTTTTTCTTATTTTTTCCGAGAGCGTGGGAATATTTTCGGATTCTTTTTATTAATTTTGGGAATTTTTTATATTTTTTTCTCACGAGTGTGGGAGTATTTTCAAATTTTTTAGTTTTATTTTTTGGAATTAAAAAAAAAATTTTCAGGAGTGTGGGAATTTATTTGAATTTCCTTTATTTAATTTTTGGAATTTTTTCTGATTTTTTCTCCGAGCATTGAAATATTTTCAGAATAGTTTTTTTATATTTTTCAAATTTTTTTCTGATTTTTTTGGCAGCGTGGGAATATTTTTGGATTATTTTATATTTTTTTTTGAAAATTTTTCTGATTTTTTTAGAAAGCATGAGAATATTTTTAGCTTTCTTAAATTTAATTTTTTTAATTTTTTGGATTTTTTATTATGAGTGTGGAAATATTTTTGGATAATTTTTATATTATTTTTCGAATTTTTTCTGATTTTTTTTCAACAGCCTAAGAATATTTTCATATTTTTTATTTAATTTTTGTAGTTTTTTGAATTTTTTATTATGAGTGTTATAATATTATTTGATTATTTTTGTTTTATTTTGGAATTTTTTCTGATTTTTTTACGAGATCATGGAAATATTTTTGAATTATTTTATTTTTATTTTTGGAAATTTTTCTGAATTTTTTCCAACAGCGTGGGAATATTTTCGAATTTTTTTAGAACTAAGAACCCTGTCAGGAAACACTCTCATTATTTCATACTCAATCCCTCTAGGACGTTGAGAGCTACGACCCAATCCTGAACCCTGTGCTCAATAGAGAAGTAAAGAAGACTGGAGGACGAGTTCTTATAACTCTTGGAGATCAGGAGATTGACTGGTCACTTTCTTTCACCATTTTCCTTTCAACGAGGGATCCTTCTGTTGAATTCCCTCCTGATCTTTGCTCTAGAGTCACTTTTGTTAATTTCACTGTCACAAGGAGCAGTCTACAGAGCCAGTGCCTTAATAGAATAATAACAATATTTATTAATATTTTTATTTTCATTATTTTGTCTTTTCTCTCTCTCTCTCTCTCTCTCTCAGGTTCTTAAATTCAAGAGACCAGACATTGAGCTGAATTTCACCAAAAGGGAAAAGGAAGAATTCTTTTTATTACATCAGTTTTCTGTACTTACATAATATTATGTTACATATAACGGTAGAAAGTTTGAGCTAATTCTGATCAAAATTGTTGCTATCAATTTTTTAGTTGCTCTAAGTATAGTAACAATTATTACATGATGTAATCTTTGTTGTGTCTATTTTTAGAATCATTACTGAGCTTGAGACTCTTAAGGAAGAGGCTCCAGAAGTTCAGAGGAAGTTGGAGGAGACTGATACTGTAATGGCTGAAGTTGACAGAGTCTCCCAGCAATACCTGCCTCTCTCAACCTCCTGCTCTGCCATGTACTTCACTCTGGAGTCACTCAATCAGGTAATTGAAATCATGTGACTGTCGTGTGATTTAGTGGTACTTTATTTTGATGATTTTGCTTGAAAAATACATTACACCAGGTTTTAATTGGCAAATTTGTCCATGCATGTATTACTAAACATTTCACTATTGAAAATTGTGATTGCAAAATGCCAAAAAAATTAATGTAAAAATCCCTGTACATGTACATGTACAGGGATTTTTTCAGAATTTGGCATATTTTTTAAATGGTCATAACTTGAAAAATTTAATTTGGAATCAGCTCAAACTCTGTACATAGCATAAGTACATCAATATGTATCAAAAAATTTAATAAGAATTGTTGGTGATTTTTGAGCCATTTTTCGGAAAAAACCATGGGCTATAGTACAGGAATTTTTTCAGAATTTGGCATATTTTTTTAAATGACTGTTACTTGAAAAATTTAAGTCAGAATCTGCTCAAACTTTCTACACAGTATAAGGACACCAATATGTATCAGAGAATGTAATAAAATTTTGAAGTGGTTTTTGAGCCATTTTTGGGAAAGAACACGTGCTTTTAGCTTTTGCTTTTTTTCGGAAAATTTACTATTTTTAAAATTGCTGCATATTTTAAAATTATTTTATTTGTTGGAATCAGCTTAATGTCAGTATTAATATTAACTAATCATTTCTTATTATTTATTATAGGTTGTGGACCTGAGGCTGAACTCATCATCTCAAGGACTGATCTCTCATTCATATACTGAAGATCTATGGAACTAAGGACTATAACACTATAAGACTGGTTTAATTAATTAAAATCATTGTTGACTTGTACTCTACATGTATGACTGAAGTGTGTTTGTTATTTTATTATCATTTTTCATGATTTCATCTCATTTCTGTTTATAAGTCATTGCACCTGCTTCTGCATTAATGGCTCTCGCAATAATTTTAATCAAAATTCATAATACCTTAGAGTGACTTTTAATTGCGGGTACTAAATTTTGTGATTTTAGCACAAGGTAGATTTTGCTGGTATTAAAAATTGCGATTAAGTAATTATTACTAATAGTTATATGGCATCATGATGTCATTATTAATAATTGCACGTATTAATAATTGCGATTTTTAACCCAAACGCAAAATTCGCAATTAATAGTACCCGCATTTAAAAGTAACCTTAAGGTAATCAATGATAAAAAGACAACTTTGTGCATTAAACAAAAAATAATGCTAAAATTATAAACAATAATGTTATGTAATTCTTTATAATCTTCATTTAATATACAGCTTCTAACAGCAAACAATTAACCTATAGCAATGACAACATATTTAACAATACTATACTTAGAATACTTCTCAATGCAGTCTTCAATAGCAGAGAATTGTACTTATCCTCTTAGTGTCATTAACCTAACAATGGAATGTAGTTCATCATACATAGTTACTGTTAGTATCTATTCTTCTTGTATGTAGTGCTCTTAGCATCACTAGCAGTAGTAGCCACTAGTGATCCCAGGCAGTGTCATGTGGAGGCGGCACTACATTGCTGCCCACACTAGAACAGAGAACAATATAATTATATTGACACATACCTAATGTACTTGAACCTTTAACAGGAACTTGCTATAACCTTAGGAAAGAGAAGGTTAATACATGATGTTATAAATTGTGCATTATTATTTTGAATATTGTAGAATTATTATTATGATGATTACTGTTAATATTACTATTGTTATTGTTATTATTATTACCATTATTATTATTAATGATTATTATTATTATTACTGATTATTATTATTATTATTATTATTCTTTTTCTGCTTTTGTTAATCTTATTCATACATGCATGATGTTCTTCCTATAGGTTACTTAACTAATGACGTCATGATTCCTTTTCTATATATGCATGCTTTTATTCATTTTACAGTTGTTGTAGTTGTCGTTGTACTGTTGTGTAGTTCGTTCTTTTCTAAGAGATTTTTAATCCTTAAAGTTATTCTTCTCCCACGACATTTCCTTCACCACTTCGGGCACAACATTTGGCGACGAGGGTATTGGTATTCTGCTCTTCTACTACGATGTCTGCTCATGGAAAGATGGGTACTTTCGAATCCGCGAGAGAATCGTGGATTTCTTATGCTGAACGTCTCGATTTCTACTTCTTGGCAAATGGTATCACGGAAGATGAGACCAAGAAAGCAATCTTCATCACCGTCGTGGGAACTCAGACGTATTCCTTGCTAAAGAGTTTGCTGCAGCCTCAGACGCCCAGAACTGCCAGTCTAGATGAAATGAAGTCCGCTCTGGAGGCGCACTTTAGTCCTAAACCTTCTTCTATTGTACAAAGGTACAAATTTCATACTCGTATTCGTAAACCTACTGAGACAGTGGCTACCTATGTTGCTGAGCTAAGAGCTATAGGGGAGCACTGTGATTTCGGGGATTCGCTGGAAGAAATGATCCGTGACCGTCTCGTTTGCGGGATCAACAATGCAAGGATCCAGCGTCGTTTACTGCAGGAGCCAAGTTTGACTTACAAATCAGCGTTTGAGAAGGCTCAGGCTATGGAGTTAGCTGCTCAGGATGTGGCCAACATGACAGAGAGTAAGCCTGTACCTGTACACCACATACGCAATAAACATGGCTCAAGCAAACACACTACTGCTGCTCAACACTCTGGGGCTAGTCAACACTCTGGTGGTGCTAGTAGCTCTACTAAGGTGGAATGCTACAGATGTGGTGGGAACCATTATGCTACAAAATGTCATTTTAGTCAAGCAGAATGTAGAGCATGTGGCAAGAAAGGTCACCTTGCTCGTGTTTGTCGTAGCTCAGCTAAAGGATTGTCCCAGACGTCAAAGCAACCTCAGTCGGGAAAGTCAGGCCCTCCAAGGACAGGTCATCATAACTCAAACCCACAGTTCCCTACCCATAGTCTAAACCAAGAACCACATCCGTCACCACCCTCTTCTCCTGAGACAGACTACCCACTGTTTACATTTCATGCTAACACCAAGCCCATTGTTATTGCAGTCCAAGTAAACAGCAGCAATTTACACATGGAGCTAGATACTGGGGCTTCCCTTTCTTTAATTAGTGAAGCCACTTACAAATCTCTCTTACCTGTTCTCCCTCCACTCTCTCCTACCTCTGTTGTTCTAACTACTTATACTGGTGAGAAGATTTCTCCTCTCGGTTCTGTTGATGTCCAGGTTCTCTACCAGTCCCAGGAAGCTACACTGCCTTTGCTAGTAGTTGCAGGAGAGGGACCAAGTCTCATTGGCCGAAACTGGCTGGAGCATATTAAATTAAACTGGTCAGACATTAAATTAATTAATTCTTTCTCTTCTTTAGGTGCTGTCCTGGACTCACATGCAGAAGTTTTTCGTCCACAGTTGGGAAAACTTCGTGACGTTACTGCCAAGCTATTCGTCAAAGAAGACGCCCGTCCTCGTTTCTTCCGCCCACGGTCGGTGGCTCATTCGTTAAAAGAGAAGGTCTCCGAAGAGATTGACAGACTACAAGAGCTCGGGGTCATCACACCAGTCACTCACTCGGAGTGGGCAGCTCCCATAGTTCCTATCCTGAAGGGGGATGGATCAATCAGGTTGTGTGGAGACTATAAAGTCACCGTGAATCCTGTACTTCATGTTGACACTTATCCACTGCCTCGCATCGAGGATCTCTTTGCTGCTCTCTCTGGTGGAAAAGTATTTTCCAAGCTGGACCTCAAGCACGCCTATCTACAGGTGCCATTAGATGAGGACTCCAAGAAGTACACAACTATAAATACACCGAAAGGATTATTTCAATACGAGCGATTGCCATTCGGGGTCGCGTCAGCTCCATCTCTTTTCCAAAGAATCATGGAAAATCTTCTTCGTGATCTACCTCAGGTCAGTGTGTACTTAGATGACATTCTTGTCACAGGTAGAGACACCTCAGATCATCTTAATAATCTGCATCTCGTTCTTCAGCGACTTGAATCAGCTGGTTTAACTCTTAAAAAGTCTAAATGTACTTTTGCTGTTCCTTCCGTGGAGTATCTGGGCCACGTCATCGATGCTCAGGGTCTCCATCCGTCTGAATCGAAAGTAAAGGCTATTCGTGATGCACCATCACCTACTAATATCACAGAGCTCAAATCTTTTCTGGGTCTCTTGAACTATTATCACAAATTCCTTCCTAATTTATCCACAGTACTTTCTCCTTTACATCGCCTATTGAGAAAAGATGAAAAATGGAAATGGACTCAGGAACAAGAGAACTCCTTCATACAGGCTAAGGGTCTATTACACTCCTCCTCTCTACTGGTTCATTACGATCCAAGCAAACCACTAATAATATCTTGCGATGCTTCACCCTACGGGCTTGGAGCTATACTTAGTCATCAAATGGATGATGGATCAGAGATGCCCATTGCATTTGCCTCTAGGACCCTGGCTCCAGCAGAGAAGCGATATTCCCAGCTAGAGAAGGAAGCACTTGCAATAATCTTTTCAGTTGGAAAATTCCATGACTATATTTACGGTCGTCATTTCACTCTCTACTCAGACCACAAGCCGTTGCAATACCTGCTGAATGAATCTAAACCCCTTCCAACTATGGCTTCCTCTAGGATTCAACGCTGGGCTATTACACTGTCTACTTATTCTTACACTATAAAGCATAAACCTGGGAAGCAGCTCTCACATGCAGATGCTCTCAGTCGACTCCCTTTATCTGATCAGCCCTCCCTAGTTCCTCAACCACAAGATGTTGTGCTGCTCTTTAATCATCTCTCTGAGACTACTGTTTCAGCAGCCAGTATTAAAAGGGAAACAGATAAAGATCCATGTCTATCACGCCTACGTAACTTATTAGTTACAGGGAATCACATTCCTACAGACTGCCAGGAGTTTCAACCATTCATCAGAATTATGACAGAACTCAGTGTGACTGATGGTTGTGTACTCCGGGGATCTAGAGTCATAGTTCCTTCTTCACTGCATTCAATGATACTCTCCCAACTCCATGACACTCATCCGGGAATTAATAGGATGAAAAGTCTGGCCCGTTGCTATGTGTGGTGGCCAGGCATTGATAAGCAGATAGAAGATGTTGTTGCTAAATGTCAGATTTGTCAGGAGAATCGTTCAGCTCCACCTCAGGCTATAGTTCATCCTTGGGAATGTCCCAAGGCTCCTTGGGTTCGTGTACATGTGGATCATGCTGGTCCTTTTATGGGTCACTATTTCCTCATACTAGTTGATGCCTACTCCCGATGGATCGATGTTCACATGGTACCTTCAATAACTACAGAAGCAACTATCAAGGTTCTCAGACAGATTTTTAGTATTCATGGTCTGCCTGAACAACTCGTTTCGGATAATGGTCCTGCTTTTGCAAGCCATGACTTCAATGAATTCATGAAACGAAATGGTATTCGCCATTCTCTCACTGCTCCATACCATCCTCGATCGAATGGATTGGCTGAAAGGGCAGTTCAAACATTTAAATCCACAATTAAGAAACTGGAAGGTCCTTTACTCGATCGAATACCACGATTTCTTTTACAGTACAGGATAACGCCTCAGACCACGACTGGTCAATCTCCAGCAGAATTGCTAATGGGGCGAAGGCTACGTACTATTTTTGATTTAATGCATCCTGATCTGTCTAAGAAAGTTCATGCCAAACAAGATAATAGTACATCATCACATAAGCCTGTTCGATCATTTAAAGTTGGTGACAAATTATTCGCTAAGAATTTCTCAGGATCTCCTAAATGGCTTCCAGTAGTTGTTACTAAAGTTACTGGTCCTTTGTCATACTTGGTGGAAACTACAAATGGTATTGTAATGAAGAGACATATTGATCAATTACGTAGTCGCCATATTACTATGGACAATGATGATAGAGATCCTGATGATGAGCTCGATGAATGTGATGATTTCCCGATGACCATTCCGCCACCACCGTTACGCCCTCCAGTTCCGATACCAAGGGAGCCGCCTCCCCTTCGTCGTTCGTCTCGTCCAAGGACTCAAAGGGACCGTGGACCGTATGTTTGTTAAGCTAAAGGGGGAGGGGTGTTATAAATTGTGCATTATTATTTTGAATATTGTAGAATTATTATTATGATGATTACTGTTAATATTACTATTGTTATTGTTGTTATTGTTATTATTATTACTATTATTATTATTAATGATTATTATTATTATTACTGATTATTATTATTATTATTATTATTCTTTTTCTGCTTTTGTTAATCTTATTCATACATGCATGATGTTCTTCCTATAGGTTACTTAACTAATGACGTCATGATTCCTTTTCTATATATGCATGCTTTTATTCATTTTACAGTTGTTGTAGTTGTCGTTGTACTGTTGTGTAGTTCGTTCTTTTCTAAGAGATTTTTAATCCTTAAAGTTATTCTTCTCCCACGACATTTCCTTCACCACTTCGGTCACAACACATGACACATACTGTAAGATATGTCCATTTTTAAATATCTGAACGTGTGATTTTGGAGAGGGAATTTGGGTGAATTCGGCATTTTGATAATAGCCATTCACCAAAATAAAACCCACCATTATGAACCATTATGTACACATGTACATGCTCAATGGGACATGGACACAAATTAAAACACACCAAAATTTAGCAGTTCAACAAATGCCACAACTTCAAATTACCAGAAGCATGCTAGTTTGGATAATTTTAATTGCATTAGGTAGCTATTTAAAAACTGATTTATGAAGCACAAAATTTAGACACATCAAATGTCCATTATGTACATGTACATGTATTTACCAGTGAAAGTGTGAGGAGCAGTTAGGACATGTAACCACATCTTCACTAAAGGCGGATTTACAATATTACGCTAGTCCTGACGTTACGTTGACGCTGGAATAGAATCTGGTTCTATTCCAGCGGAAAGCATGCGTCAAAGGTCAAATCGCCCACGCTTTTGATTAAAAATTGACGGTACGCTGGCCTAATGTCATATTGTAAATCCGCCTTAAACCTGAACAACAGATCCATTGAATGACAAACCCCACATCCTGTACCATTAGCTGAACATTTCTACATAAAAATATTACAAGATAACATGTTACTAGTCACATGTACATCATGCATGACTACCAATAGGAGGGGGCAAGGGGGAATTAGCACTAGGCCCCCAAATAAAGGGGCCCCCTAGTCTCAGGTTAATAGTAAACTCTTGGGCTTAATTGGGGGCCTAATACAAACTTTAAAATACAACTTTCAATATTGATGATATACATGTTATTAAATGTAGACAAAACCTTCAAAAGATGTACATGTACTTACTTAACATAAATCATATCATTATCAGGACCCCATCAAAGTTATTGTCCTATGGTCCATGCACATACGTATATATAGCCTATTTGGAGCCTGTGTACATGTACATGTATATACTGTGTTGTACCTGGTGATGTGACTTACATGTAGGAAT